TTTTTCCTATCATATTAACTCAAGCAATGATGACCGAAGGCATCACTACTTTGGGGACACATTCGACATTCCTCATCAGCATCAAATATGGACAAGCCAAGTCGCATAGAAAGGACATCATGAAATGCAACATTGGGCAAGTGTGTATCAAATGCTTGACTCGGAATAGCTTGAGTCCACCCATCGGCCCAAGCTCCCGAATAACTCTCAACTCTCGATCGATCCCGTTCACCGAGTTGTCGCAAGAAGTCGCTATGGGCAGCCGCAACGGCTTCCTTGAGCAAATCCTTTTGTCGAAGCTTAAATCCAACCCGGCAAGCCCAAACCTCAATCCGGACAATTCCTAAAATTCCGGGAATTTTCAGCTCCGGGTGATTCCCAAAATTCCCAGGATTTTTAGACAAAAAGTGTTAAAATTCCCGGAATTTTCAGGATCCCCCTGCAAGGCCCTCACAAGCAGCCAAATCGACCGGAAGAGGAGGCGGGGCATCCGACGGGGCGGCCGCAGAGCGAAAATAGGGGTCGAGCCCGTAGCCTTTTATGGGGATATTCTTCTTATACGCCCAACGCCTAGAAGTCTAAATATCTCCCCGAAATCCCTCCCCCACAAATAAATATAATGAGGCATGAGCGTTCCAAAAGTATTTTGAAAATATAATGTGGTATGAGTTTTCCAAAAATATTTAGAAATCATGAGAGCATGAAATCTAGATGCTAATTTTTTAGGGAGGAAGGGGAGAATTATCTAATAATCAACCAGCTTATATATTTGGTTGGCCGCCATCGTATCGACGCATATCTTTATCTCACGACCGCGTTGCTCTTAAACAAGTGAATCGCCGCACTACAACAGGCCCTTATCTTTAAGATGGGCACGGGCCGACTCACTGACCTTCGCGCAATCAGACTCCACCCAAACATGGGGTGCTGTACCCTTCACACGCGACAGGAGGTCGCCAGTGCCGAAATCATCTTTGGCGGTGACGGCACAGTTCTCACTGTAGGTGCCCCCAATGCCCTCCATCTCGGCGGAGACAGAAACCCAGGTACTGGTCGATGCGCCTTGCTCCACAGTCTTGAAGACTGGGGAAACGTTGCCATCCTTATCCATCCAGCCATAAGAGATCATCTCTTCCTTCGTCAGAGAGTCTTGCAACCCCGTGCGAATGCCACCAGGGTGACAGCTGTTCACCCGAATCTTCGAGCCTTTCTGGGTGAGCTCGGCGTTCAGATGGTTGCCTGGGTTGCCGGTTGCTCGAAGGACTACGGCGCAGGGGGGGCACAAGCAGAGCATTTAGAGAACTATGGGGCTTTCTCGTCCGGTCTTTTCTTGCTTTTGGGGCCACGGTACAGGGTAGGACCTGCGGGTCTGGCTACAAAGGTCGCGCAGTTCCCTCCAATTTGAAGCCTCACCCTAGAACCTCCGATCCTCTCACCCAACACCCCTGTAGCCCTTTACCCTCAACCTCTCTAACACTTGCAGTGCAAGCCAGCTGCAGTACATGATGATGGCGCTCTTGGCAACATAATAGGCCACCCACTTGTCATAGCCCTCTTTCTCGATGCCCTGAAACGCATACTTCTCAAACAGCTCCATGAATGGGGTTTCAAGGGTGGCACATCGCCGGTGCGCAACAGAGGAGACGACGCAAACGCGGGCACTGTCGGTAAGTCGGGGAAGGAGAAGCTCCGTGAGCCTTACTGTTGGTTAGTAGGGAATGAGGGAATGAGGTACCATAAAATATCCCTTAAAGGGAGTATACACTACAAATTGCTTAAGAACCCCCCTCAAAAAACATCAAAAAACATTCTTCCTTATAAGGGCAATATCGGGATTATTAGAGGGGGATAATAGGGTACTTCATTCCCTCATTCCCTACGAACCAACAGTAAGTAGCAGAACCACGGAGTGAAAATTCACCTGCATCTGCTGCTCCTCCTTGTCGGCCGTCATCGTGTAGGGAATTGCCATCACGCCCGCGTTGTGCAGCAGCACATCAATGGGTCGCTCTCCCCACTCCTATACTGAACTTGGCAGCCTCTAGCAAAAAAAACTATACTTTTGCTGTTCCTTAGAGTTTCTAGTAACCAAAAAACTATACTTTTTGTTGTTCCTTCTAGTAACCAAAGTTTAAAAATGAAACTCATTTCCAAGCACCCCTAAGATTCCTTGGCAAAGGCCTTGACGGACTCATAGCTGCACATGTCGAGTGCACTCACCTTGACCTTGATTCAGGGTTTAGGGTTTAGGGTTTAGGGTTTAGGGTTTAGGGGTTTAGGGTTTAGGGTTTAGGGTTTAGGGTTTAGGGTTTAGGGTTTGGGGTTTGGGCAAGAGAAAGACACACATCGAGGTAAAGCTTTCGGGGTTGGCCGCCACAACCCAAGTTCTGAGCGAGGGGAATTCGGGGATTTGGTATCCGATATCTAATTTTTAACCCCTTAAGGGATTCTATAAAAAACACAGGATGCCCAAATTCCGGGTCCGGACCAAAAACCAGAAAGTAGTTACACCCTAAGCCCTAAACCCTAAACCCTAAACCCTAAACCCTAAACCCTCAAGGCCAGGATAAATAGACATTGTATGTGATTCATTACGCGAAGCTCGTGCCATAACCCTTCATCCTTCACAGTGCAAAACAGAAGACCAAAACAAGCGTGACTCTCAGGCACCAAAAGACTCAAAATGGGAAAAGTTAAAACAAAGATTCTGCCAGGGTCCCCAGGCCACCAAGCAAGCGCCGCAACAGCCCTACCAGCCCCAGTTAGATGCAGCCCCAGCCCCAGCCCCAGAACCCGGCAAAACCCGGCAAAACCCGGCAAAACACCCCAAAACTCCGGACACAAACCCTTTACAATTTCTATAAACCCTAAACTCTAGACCCTAAACCCTAAACCCTAAACCCGAAACCCTAAACCCGAAACCCTAAACCCTCCGAGCGACCTCCGGGTTTCCAGACTCCTTCTGGATGGACTCGAGAGCCGCAGCGCCTTTGGCCGGGTCGCGCGCCGTGATGGTGAGGTTGCAGCCTCTATAGGTGCACAGGTCCGGGTTTAGGGTTTAGGGTTTAGGGTTTGGGGTTTGGGGTTTAGGGTTTAGGGTTTCGGGTTCAGGGACAGGAAGCCCGTTGTCAATAAGGCTTGGTTGGTTCTCCCGGCCCTAGACAAGAAACCCTGTTTTTGCCAAGACAAGCCACCCGGCAGTCAGAGGGTCCGTGCCACGGTTTTTGGGGTACCAAAAAACCGTACAGATGACTTCTTCTTTTAACCCTCTACCTGAACCTTGAAACCATAAACTCTAAACCCCTAAACTTTGAAGCCCATAAAAATACTTGAAGAAAGAATGAATAAAATGTATTTAGAAACATAAGAAACAAGAACAACAAGAGAGAGAGAGAGAGAGAGAAAAAGAAAAAGACAAAAAAACGAACAAAAACAAGAACAAATACAGAAAAGGAAAGAATTTTAAACATGAAAATAAAGAACAGAAGAGAGATGACATGAAGAGAAACACGAGAGAAATAATGAACCACAGGAAAAACAACATGAAGAGAAAGAACCAAAAACAAAGAGAAGACATGAAAGAACGAGAGGAGAAAAAAAGCAGGGAAACAAGACCCTAAACCCTAAACCCTAAACCCTAAACCCTAAACCCTAAACCCTAAACCCTAAACCCTAAACCCTAAACCCTAAACAATGCAACCAACTGCGGGACCAAGGCCTGCAAACTTTAGGAAACGTTAAGGGTTAAGGGTTAAGGGTTATAAAGGCCGGTGGCCTCTTTATCTGCTTCCCTTAAACGTTAGTATAGCCCCTAGATACCCCAATAAGAACGCCCCTACAAAAGAAATCCTACTTAAAGAGACCACCAACCAATACAAGTTAAGGGTTTAGAGCTCAGAGAATTTCGAGTCTGCAAAATTCCTAGAATCCCCAAGGGTCCCAAATACTTGCTGCACCACTACAAGGTTTGGTACCTTCTAAACCCTAAACCCTAAACCCTAAACCCTAAACCCTAAACCCTAAACCCTAAACCCTAAACCCTAAACCCTTCAAGGGGTTTACCGGCCAACGGGATCCATGGGGACCCTAAGATATATTCCGCAGTAAATAAACCTAAACCCTAAACCCTAAATTTGCACTCTGGAATGCTGTGCCTCTAGGATGGCCCTTCAACCCCTCTGAAAAGAATGCCTGAATATGATCCCCCTACACCCAATAAGGGAAGAGATAAAATGGCCCAAAGGGCCCCTAGTCCCCTGAGATGGGGGTTAGGGTTTAGGGTTTAGGGTTTAGGGTTTAGGGTTTAGGGTTTAGGGTTTAGGGTTTAGGGTTTAGGGTTTAGGGTTTAGGGTTTAGGGTTTAGGGTTGCAGCCTGTGCGTGCCAGAGCGGTGGCCGTGGGAATGCCAATCCCCGAGGTGGCACCTGTGACCTAACATGGGGGCTTAACGAAAAGATGGGACCCCCAATAGAGACCCCAAATAGTAGGACCCCTTCTCATAAGGAGCACAATAGGGCAACCTTCATTTCGGAACCCCCCCATAGAGAACTTATATAGTAGGATCCCCTTCTCATAAGGAGCACAATAAGGTAAATTTAAGTTCGGGAAGCCCCCACACAGTGATCTATGCCGCTCGGAAAGGAAGAAGCACGATTTGCTAGGAGCAATGTTGGCTCATGGCGGAAAAGCATCACTGGGTTAGAGCAAAAACAATTCTCAAAGTTGAGACGGGCTGCGATAATGGTCTTCCCTTTCAAGTCAAGGCCCTTCACAGCATCCTCGGCAGTCCAGCGAAATCGCGGGATGGCCTTGAGAAGCATAGCTTCCAGCTCTTCCGGCGATGGGGTGGCCGCCATGTTCGAAGGCTAGAGCAGACGAACGGGTATTGCTTCAAGAACAAGGATAGGCTCCAGAGCCAAGGCAGCGTGCAAGAGTGCAATGAATAGTCTGGCATTCGTATGACTCTGATGCTTAGGAAGGGTTTGCTTACTAGAACTATAATATATGGCTTGAAGCAAATGTCTAATTCACTTCCCTGTTTAATGTTTTTCTTGTTCCGGCTACATAATCACAACTGTCTATGTACTGTTGGCTATTATTTGCTATGGTTTGCTATGCATCTAAACATAATAGGACGTCGGGCTTTTTTAATCAGTGCCTCGGGATGGTGGTGAATCTGTCCCCAAACCCGCACAAGACACTCGTGGGTTTAGGGTTTAGGGTTTAGGGTTTAGGGTTTAGGGTTTAGGGTTTAGGTTTTAGGGTTTAAGGTTTAGGGTTTAGGGGTCGACCTTCATGCGCATGAACGTCTTGGAACCCTGCGCTTCAGCAGCTCGCACAACCCAGGCCCGGTGGTCAAAAGACATGCAAGCTGGAAAGGAAGAACAGAACCCCTCCCCCCCCCTGGCAAGAGAATCTCCCAACACTTTAGCTACCGTACTTATGACTCCAAGCAAGTACTGTACAACATTCAAAGGGGCTTTGTAACGCGAGGCCCTACCAAGAAGTAGGTTGTTGACCCCCGCGTAAGTCAGGGCCCAGGTAGCAGTAGGGCTTTCAGGATTGGCTTCAGGCTAATGGGTGTACTCTTCCATTCCCTGACGCATCGCTGACTACCTTCGCAACCCTAAGCCACAAAGCCACAAAGCCGTAGACATTCCCAAAAGCCAGAGCCCCGCTTTCGGGCCGCTTTTCTAGATGATGGGCCCTCTTTGGGTGCCCAAAATATGAGAATGAAGACCCCCCAAAATGGACCACATTTTAGAGAAGTGGCCATGTTGTGGTGATTGCCAACATTAGGGGGTACCTTTTTGGGGTCTAATTGATAAGGGAATCCTACTATCTGGGGTCTATTTCAAGGGCCCCCATTTTGTCCTAAACACTAAACCCTAAACCCTAAACCCTAAACCCTAAACCTTAAACCCTAAACCCTAAACCCTAAACCTCCATGTGAGCTCCCTCTTTTGCAGCGGGATCATCACAGCCGTCGCATCGTCGATCCGGACCTCGATGGGAAGGCCCGCCTGTCAACTGAAACGTAAATCCGCTGACATGAAATCAAGCTTTGGGGGAATTAGGGTGGAAAGGGTCTGGGGTTTCGGGTTTTGGGTCCAGGGTCTGGGGTTTAGGGTTTGAGGCTAGGGTTTATGGTTTTAGGGCTTGGGGCTTTGGGGTTCAGGGGTTTACTGTTTTAGGGTCAAGCTTGGGGGATCTAGGGTGTATGTGTGGCTACTTCTGTGAAGTATGGCCCCCTTTTCCTCTTGTTTAGGGTACCCCAATAAAAGGTTCACGGTTTACATAGCACGGCCCCCTTGAAAGAAGCGCCACCAGAGGGGCCCTGATTCGGAGAACGACCCATATGTTCTATAGAACTGCGTATTCATAGTCCCTCTGGAAGTCTTGGCCACAAGTCTTAAACACCCTAAACCCTAAACCCTAAACCCTAAACCCTAAACCCCAAACCCTAAACCCTAGCCCTAAACCCTAAATCCTAAACCCTAAACCCCAAACCTGCAGAAGCCTCTTCACACTACAGCCCCGGCCGACTCCAGGGTGTGCTTGGGAGGTTGCTTAGAAGGGAATATAGCAAGGGTTTAGGGTTTAGGGCTAGGGTTTAGGGTTTAGGGTTTGGGGTTTAGGGTTTGGGGATTAGGTTTTGGATCTTGGGTTTACAGTAGGGTTTGGTTGCCAGGGCTTGAAGGTGTTTACCAGCCTCGCATTTGGCTTTTTCCGGGCTTATGCTTCTAGTGACTCCATGGCCGAGGGTTGAAGATTTTCAGCGCGACATGGGCGCCCTGAACTCCTCAACCTCCAAAACGCACCGAAGTCACACAATCTCCAGGGCTTGGGGGCTTAGGGTCTATGATCAGGTTAGGGCTTGAGGTTCAGGGCTTGAGGTTTAGGTTTGGGGTGTTAGGACAATCCTATGCCCTACACCCTACACCCCAGATCGCGAACCCTAAGTTGCAATCTTACTCCCTGAGACCAGATCCTGACCCCTAAGTTCGAATTCCTAGAAAGCCTCAGTTTAGGGTTTAGGGGTTCTGGTGTTAGGGTCTGGGGTTTAGGGTTTCGGGTTATTTAGGGAACCCGGAATCTTCAAACCCTAAACCCTGAACCCCAATTTAAGACTCCGAACCCGATACCCTTAAGCACTGATCCCACTTTCTACATCCCAAGCCCTCAACCCTAAACCCTAAACCCAAACCCCAAACCCCAAACCCCAAACCCTAAACCCTAAACCCTAAACCCCACACAAATCTTGAGCCCCCCTAGCCCTAGCCCTAGCCCTGGTGCCTGCCATCTCTCCCTCGCTTGCGCCACAAGCCGGGAACATGCGGCTGTAAAGCCTCCAACCTGTCGTGCACTTTGAGGTTTACACCCGGTTTAGGGTTTAGAGTTTAGGGTTTAGGGTTTAGGGTTTGGGGTTTGGGGTTTAGGGTTCAGAACCGTAAGTCCTAAGCTTTAAGCCCTACAGGCCCCCACCCTAAACTCCACACCCCTCCATATGTCAGTAGAAGCCTGCCGCCTGAATGCCGACGGAAAGCAGCGCACTTCGTCAAGGAAATCGGCTAGTGAGCCGCAGCATCCGAAGATCCCCAATAATCTTCAAAGCTCTGTGCCCCCGACATGCTCAGCAGACTGAGCCTAAACCCTAAACCCTAAAACCTAAACCCTAAACCCTAAACCGTAAACCCTAAACCCTAAACCCTAAACCCTAAACCCTAAACCCTGACTGGCCTTGACCCCTGACTGGCCTTAAACCCTGGCCCTAACAATGGCCTCCTCGAGCAAGCACTCACCCGCGATGGAGGCCGCGTCCTCGTTGGAGAAGACGTCGCTGATACCGTCCGTCACCTCTTGGGAGCTTTCGGCTTTCCGGCGGTCTTGTGCCACGGGCTTGAAAGGGTTCGGCTACGGTTGCCATGATTATGAGATACTCGTCAGCAATCACCCCCTCCGCTACGCTCTAAAAGGAGCTACTTGAAGGGTCATGGGGGTCATGGGAACTTATAAGTAGGGGTTAGGAGTGTCCCCAGCATAAGGTTTTGACCGTAGTTACTCTACTTACAATCCTACTTATACGTACCATGAACCCCAAGTAGAATTCAGGGTCCCTAAACCCTAAACCCTTAACCCTTAACCCTAAACTTAGACCCTTCTAAGGCCAACCGAGGAGGCTCCGTCTCGGGGTACCCAGCTGCTTTCATGAGTATAGTTATCCGAGAGGTTACGCACACCCGGGGTTTAGGGTTTAGGGTTTAGGTTCGGGGCTCAGTCTGCTGAGAGGGTTTAGGGTTTAGGGTTTAGGGTTTAGGGTTAGGCAAAGGGTATGGGTATGGCAAAGCTCCAAGGGCAAAGGGTTTTCAGGTTCGGGTTCAAGGATACGAGCCGTGGCTTCGTAGGGCGAAGGAGACCATAGCCCGCTGCCCGCAGCAGAGACGAGCTTGGGATTCGAGAGTCGAGAATTTGAACTCTAAACCCTAAACCCTAAACCCTAAACCCTAAACCCTAAACCCTAAACCCTAAACCCTAAACCCCAAACCCCAAACCCTCAACCGAATTAAGGCGACATGGGGTCCGAGGTTAGGAATTCCTGGGCACAAGTAAATCCCCTAAAACCCCAAGCCCCAAGTCGCCCAAAACCCTGAAACCGCAGGCCAAAACCCCAAAGCCCTGCAGAGCCCTATTGAGCTCCATATCTACATGAAGGGTTTAGGGTTTAGGGTTTAGGGTTTAGGGTTTAGGGTTTAGGGTTTCATGGTCCCTTATTCCTTTCAAGGGTGCTGAAGTATGGGCCCCTGGTTTTGATAGGGTGTCTAAGGGGTATGTAAGGGGGCCCCAATTTAGGGCCCACATTCAGGGACCATGTAACTGCCGTAAACCCTAAACCCTAAACCCTAAACCCTAAACCCTATGGAGCCCTAAGCCACCCAAGCGGCCAGCAGCAGGAAACCATCTCCGGTACCAGAGGCTTCAGTGACCTTCATGGCAGCTCTCAGCGCTTCTTGAATTTCGTAGGACCCTCAACCCTCAACCCTCAACCCTAAACCCCAAACCTTAAACCCCACACGGGGCTTCTTGGGCTCGGGGTTTTGGGGCTTCCTTGGGGGAGCTTGCGGATTCCCGCTCGAAAGCCCTGAACGCCCGACAATCCTGAGCCCTGGTGCTCGAAGCGCGGAGGTTTAGGATTTATAGGGTTTAGGGTTTTTAGGGTTTAGGGTTTAAGGATTTCGGGTTTAGGGTTAAGGGTTAGGGGGGGCTAACTCCTAAACCCATAAACACGTAGAAGCCCGAACCGACTGTGTTTATCGTGAACGGTTAGGTTTTGGAGATGGTTTCTCGGCAGAATCATTAAGCCCTAAACCCTAAACAAGCTGTTAAGCCGAATCGTATTGCTCCGGGGCTTAAAAGTAGGGTGATCAGTACCCTAAACAAGACTCTCACCATAGCTACCCTACTTAGAACCCTACTTGAAAGTACCCACGGCCCTCCTTTCAAGTGTCACCCCCTCATTACACCCCTAAAAGCCCAGAGCACCCAAAGCCCCCAAAACACCCAACACTCCAGAAACCTAGGCCAGCAGCCATCACCGCCCTACACCCGCATAAAGGCACTAAACCCTAAACTTCCTAAACCCTGAACCCTACGCCCTAAACCCTAAACCCCAAGGCCTAAACCCTAAACCCCAAACCCCAATCCCCAAACCCCAAACCCCAACCCCTAAGCCCTAAACCCTAAACCCCTAGGCTCGCTGTACCGCCCGCGTGCCTCAGGCAATGCAGTGACGCCAAATGGCCGCAGGACCAGATCGCCAAGCCTGGGGCAGATTCCCTAAACCCTAGACCCTAAACCA